GAAATCAGAATGCTCATTCATCGGATGGGTAAGATTAATCGGAGAAAAATTAAACAAATGTAAAGAAGTTTATATTTGATTAGCTGTTATTGCAGAATTCTGTATGTTATGTGTCATGTACATCAGATACACTTCCACCCCCAGACGTGTCCTCTGCTGTGAATTACAGACCCGTGAACACACTGACTTTAACGGGCCAGTTCAGTTTTGCGGAAGTTCACTCCTGGGTGGTGTTTTGCCTTCCTGAGGTTCCCGAGAAACCTCCGGCCGGAGAATGCGTGACATTCTACTTCCAGAACACCTTTCTGGACACACAGCTGGAAAGCACCTACAGGTAATGCAGCCCGTTACCAGTTCACAGTGTGTGGGGTGTTTTAAGTATGTTTTTTTAATTGATTTTTAGAGTGAGAGGAAGGGAGAGGGAGAGAGAGAAACATCAATGATCAGAAGGAATCATCGATTGGCTGCCTCCTGCATGCCCTCTACTGGGTATCAAGCCGGAAACCCAGGCCAGTGCCCTGACCGGGAATAGAACCAGTGACCTCTTGGTGCGTGGATCCACACTCAGCCACTGAGCTAAGCCAGCCAGGCCACAAGGGTTTTGCTATAAATGAGCTTCTACATTTTCTTTGTTTTAAAGCAGGAACAATTTGTAAATAATATATTTGAAACCTATACTGTTCAAGAGAATCTATTGGAAAACAAGGAGAGTTAATGAATTTTTAAAAATGATTGAATAAGATTCCCATGGCCCTGGACCAGCAGCTCAGTTGGTTAGAGGGTTGCCCTGTCGCTCCTGCGTTGCGAGTTTGATCCCTGGTCAGGGCACATGCAAGAGTCAACCAATGAATGCATACACAAGTGAACAACAATGTTTGCAAAGAGAGGAAATGGCCCAGAACTTGGCAGCTGAGAACATGAGGCTTTTGAAGCCGGAAATATGCAGAAGTTACTTGATGAAACTTTGAAATGTTATTGACATAAAAGACTTGAGATTCAATGGGGTAATTAATATATTGCATAGTCCTCAATAGGAAGACACTGTAGTGTGACAGTCCTTCCCAAATGTTTGCAAAGAGAGGAAATGGCCCAGAACTTGGCAGCTGAGAACATGAGGCTTTTGAAGCCGGTGGGTCAGGAGGGGCGGTGGCTGCTGCACACCTTGCCTTCCCTCCCGCTCCTCTGCGGGGCTCCCTCAGGGCCTGGTTCTGAGCACAGAGAAGCCGACCTTCCTCTCCTTCGCTCCTCTGCTGAGTGTGAGATGACGGCCTTCTCTCAGTGCTGGGGTCCAACCCCAGCAGGTCCAGGGGTTCCCAAAGATGTAGATGGAGTCGGCGAAGAAGGAATGACACGGAGACAGCATTCAGTTGATCAGCAGCCTAGCCAGGATCTCTAGCCAGGATCTAAACAACCTTTCTCGGGGAGGTGGTCCTGTTTAAAACACAAAGGGCCAAGAAGATGAGCAAACATATTAAGAACAGTATGCCATATACACCAGGTCCCTTGAAACATATTCTGTGCAGATGTTTCTTCCCTGCAGCGACTGTGTCAAGCAGCAAGGATGGACCGGCTCCCGGCTCCCGGCATCTCAGGGGATTTCTCCACTGTCCTCTGAGCCTCACCCCCCACCCAGGGTCTTTGCATTCTCATCCCACTTCAGCTGTAGCTGTTCTTAGTTTGTCTGATCTTTTGTTTTGTTTTAATTCTGTTTTATGTGGAGGGGCTGGGTGGCTTCTCCTCTCCTGGTCTCTGTTCTTAGGGGTTCTTTTCCTAAGCAGGTTCTTGAACTGTTCTGCTTCCCAGCGGAGCTGTAGCATGCTGATTCTGGAAACGGCCCTTTGGGAGCTGGAGCTCTCCGGAAATCTAACTGGTTTTAGATCAGTCCCTGGAGCCGTTTCACTGTACCTTCCAGGACCTCATCTGTGTCCAAACCTGGAACAATGAATGGCGCCTGTTTGAAGTCCTACAGCGAACCTCACGCTCCGGCATAGCCGACAATTCCACGTGCCTGGCATCGTGCACGTTTTTGGTCTCTGTGCTGCGAGGCCAGCAGCGTGTATATTTGTGTAATATCTTTGCTCTTTACCACTCTGTGTCCTTTAATATTCGTCCCTTATCACTCACACTCCACTTATTCTTCAAGGCCCAACTCATAGCTACGTTTTCAAGTTTTTCGTGATTCTCTTCTCTATTCCCATGGCATTTTATTCTTACCTTCCTTATTATTTATTTGAAGTATATAATAATGTTTTTATGTAAGCTGGTATCTCTAAATTGGACTATAAGCTCCTCATGGGCAGAGTCTATTTCTTTTCTTTTAATTTTTGTATTTTTATTGATTTCAGAGAGGGAGGGGTGGGAGAGGGAGAAAGAGGAAGGAAGGAAGGAAGGAAGGAAGGAAGGCAGGAAGGAAGGAAGGAAGGAAGGAAGGAAGGGAGGAAGGGAGGAAGGAAGGGAAGAAGGGAGGACGGGAGGAAGGAAGATGGATTTGTTGTTCCACTTATTTATACATTCATTGGTTGATTCTTATATGTGCCCTGACCAGGATCGAACCCACAACCTTAGAGTATCAGGACAATGCTCTAACCAACTGAGCTACCCAGCCAGGGCCAGAGTCTATTTCTTAATTATTTTTGTATGAACCCTCCAAGTGCCTCACACCTGGCCGAGCATAGTGGTTCTCAGTGAGTGTTTTTAGGGATCTGAGTGAAGTGCGTATGTATGGAGAGAGCGGCCCTACCTGGGTGTGACTCTTGGCTCTGTGACCTTGTTGAGATTACTTCCCTCGCTGACCTGTAGTTTTCTCTTCTGAGGAGTGGAAATAATAGCACATGTTCACTGAATTGTGGTGATTAAAAACAAGCCATGCAAGTCACCCACAGTGTCAGGTGCTGTGTTAAACAGTAAATATCATCAGTTAAAATTAAAGACCAGTGAAAAGTCTCATGATTTCTAAACTATAATTGGGATCCAAATTGTATGTATGTATTACTCATCTTTCTAGAAGAAAGAAGTCGGTCTTTGCCTATAACTAGTCATTGCAAAGTATTTGTGTTTATGAAAGCCAAACCAGAGGGCACATTAAATGATGAAAATGGTAGATGTTAACTAGGAAACGGAAAGGTTTGGTCATCAGAAAAAAGAACCAGCACAAACTGCTTAACCTGGAAACAGGAATTCCCAGTGCCTGTACCGGGAGAGTGCGCAGCCCTGGGCCTCAGGACCCCAGGGCCTCAGGACGGCCAGCGCCCTCACTGGCGTCACTCCGCCGCTCTGTGTTGCCCTCTGGGCCGTCCTGTGCAGCCTGGCGGCAGCAGTGCCACCCAGCTTCCTATCTTGTCAGCTCCCATGGAGTCTCTCTCCCACTAGTTCCAGTAAGAAAAGTCCAGGATTGAGGGCCATTGCTGCGCCGTGACCCGCGTGTCCGTGGTGGGGAATGCACTGCTAAACGCTCCTGAAGTCCCAGAATCGGGCTGGGCCAGGGCCAGCGAAGTCCTTGGGGTGAGAAGGTGAGAGAGGGAGTGACTCGCCCCCCAAAGGAAAAAGGTCCTGCGACCTGAGACATGGGATGGATGCCCCCGGCCTGACCGACAGAAGAGGCTACTCGTAGGTTCGCCGTCCGCCTCAGGATGTAGCTGTCATGTACGTGAGCACATGAGAGAAAACGTACTCGTGCCACTAAGCACCTCTAGTTCACATACATGAACGCTTAGCTGCTGGAATTTTATTCGTGCAAACACAAAAGCTGTTTTAAATGAAGGACATATTATACCTTCGCCTATCTTTAGGAGACATATCTGACATCTTTTGTTAAGTTTTACAAGTATGTTCAGAATTTGAATTAATATAACAGTAAAAGTTTACACATTTAAATATGCTTTCTATTAATAATGAGATGTATATATAGAGAAATGAAATTTAAACACTAGTTACAAAATATGTATTAACTGGGTGTGTTTCCTTCTAAAGCTGTCTTTTTAAAAATATATATTAATTTTGTAGAAAAGGAGAAGGAATTTTTAAATCTGACAACATTTCAACTATATCCATTCTAAAAGATGTGCTCTCTAAAGAAGCTACAAAAAAGAAAATTAACCTCAACATTTCATACGGTAAAGAAAGAAAAATCTTTTCTTTTCTTTTTTTTTTGGTTGTTACAATAAGAATGTTTCTAATCAAAATGACTTTCTAACTGCTTCTGGCTCGACTCCTTCTAGAGATCAATGAGATGTCAGTAAAGCACACTCTAGAGCTCATCCACCCAAAGCTGGAGTACCAGTTGCTTTTGGCTAAGAAAGTGCAGCTAATTGATGCTTTAAAAGTGAGTGTCTGTGTCTTGGACTCATGATCATTATTCTGTTGTGATGGGATTTCTAAAATTGTAAAGACTTTAAAGCTACACTGGATTGAATCTAAACATGAAGTGTCTTCTGTTTTTAATTTAAAATAAGGAATTGCAAGTTCATGAAGGAAATACAGACTTCCTGATACCAGAATATCGCTGCATTCTAGAGGAGGCAGAGCGCCTGCAGGAGGAGTACAAGAGGCAGCCGGCACACCTGGAGAGGCTCTATGGTTAGTGGGCTGTTTGTTAGATACCTGGCATGTCTCTGTGCTCCTGGCTGTTTGAGAGAAGCTGGACAGGGGAGAAGCAAAGATTACAGCAGTCACGAACCTATGACAGCCAATTTGTTGCTTACAATATTTTGTCAAGTTTGTTCTAATATTTACTATTTTTAAATATTTTTTTATTGATTTCAGAGGGGAAGGGAGAAGGGGGAGAGATAGGATGAGAGAGAGTCGTTGATTGGCTGCCTCCTGCACACACCCTACTAGGGATTGGGCCGAAACCCAGGCAGGTGCCCTGACCGGGAATTGAACCGTGACCTTTTGGTTCATGGGTTAACACTCAACCACTGGACCATACCAGCTGGACCTACTATTTAATATTTTTACTCGATAAAATGCAAGTAAAATTAGGAAGTAAAATAAGTTTAATGCAATAGACTTACATATATGAAGGAACCTGGTGTGAAATGAATATAACTTATGAAGCATCATAGTTTAGGCTATAATTCGCACCAGTAATTTTCAGGCTTTGTTGCTATTGTGAAAATCAACATGCAACATTTAATAATTATAGCATAATAAGGGATATATGTGTGCTATGTCAACCCAAAACTCATTTTGCTTTGGTGGTAGAAATTGGGTGTTTCACAAATTACATTGAAAGAGAGCAAGAGTGGGTTGGAAGGAACAGCTTAAGAAAACTTTTGTTTTGCCATCATTACATGATGTCTGTGCATAGCACACCAGTTTACCTATAGCATCTTCGTAATCAGGTGGCGTATTTAATCCTTCGCACAGCTTTGCAAGGTAGATGATGTCTCCATTTCTCATTTTTAAGCGGGAAGTCTGAGACCAAAGCATTTGCTGTCACATGGTAGGAAGCGGCACAGCCTGCAGGGCCTCCGCACGCCCCGCCTCTCCCCGGTGCCTGCCTTTTGCTCTGTGCCAAGTCTTCTGTAGCTAATTGGTGTCATCAGCCTCCCTGGCCCTTCAGCCTGCACAGTGAGCTCATTTTATACCCAGAGACTTGCTCACAAGCTGTAACAATAAGACCTAATATCTTAATATTTACTGAATGGCAGGCACACGATCGTTCATCCTTACAGCCGCTTAGCAGATGCATCGCTCCTCACCAGTCCAAACCCAGAAAGCTTTGAAAAGCAAAGCTTTTTCACAATTAATTTTGCATCAGATCTGACTTGGTCTGAATTATTGCAATGGCAAAACTTCACTTAAACCGGCATGAGGTTATTTATAGTCTCTTTTATTCCCCTTAGTGTGGTTGTTTATCCATGTATTTTATTGCAGAAACATTGCTCTGTTTCCCCCCTTGGATGTTACGCCATCTATGCTGTCTTCCTTTTATTGTCTTTCTAAACTGAAAAATTCTCAAATATCTCTTGTAGCTGGGGTTTTGGATAAAGGACTGGCAGCTTGAGTTAACCCCATTGTACATATGAGAGAACTTTAAGGTGCAATAATGTGCCCAGATCTTTGAACTTAGAAATATTTGCCTTTAGGTCAAATCCCAAGAATGGTCCACATATACTAGTAGATGGAAGTTTAGTTAGTTAGTTAGTTAATCTCACCCAAGGATATTTTTTCCACTCCTTTTTTCAGAGAAAGTAGAAGGGAAAGAGGGAGGAAGGGAAGGAAGGAGAGATAGAGAGAGACATAGTTTGGCTGTCTCCCACACAGTCCCAAACTGGGGGCAGGGAGCAAACCCGCAAACCAGGTACATGCCTTTGACTGGGAATCGAACCCGCAACCCTCTGGTGCACAGGCTGACACTCTAATCACTTAACCACACTGGCCAGGGTGGAAAATTTTAATCTAAATAAACCTGTTGAGAACTGAATCTCTACAGCAAGCATGTCAAACTCAAAGGCTAACACGGGCCAAATAAACAAGGTTTAAGTTGATGTGGGCCGCAAAAAAACAAAAGCTTCAATTTTCATAGAAATGTATGTTTATTTCAATAGAGACCTGCTGAATACAAAGGGCTGAAATAAATGAGTCGTCGTTAACATAAAATAATACATTTTAATAAAAATTAATATTTTTTCTTGAACATTAACTTACCAGACACTGAATAACTACACTAATTAATAAGCGTAACGCAAATCTATTTTTCTTGTTCTCTGAAAGTGAAATATTTCCTATTACGCACACCCAACAAGTCAGTACAAGACTAATGACGTGGCCATCGGCTGCTAAAATATTCGCTGCTGGTGTTACTGGAGAGAAATGGTGCGCCTGCGCGTAAGGGAAATGAATGCAACACGATTATAGTCATCAGTCATTAGCGAACATTGTAGTTCGTTATTAGTAATTATGTATAACAGGATATTGTAAAAATTAAGTCACGAAATTTTTATTAACACGTTTCTTACATACCGTTATATTGGCTAGGCTGCAAAAATACTCGTTGTGGCCGCATGTGGCCGGGCCGCGAGTGTGACCTGCTTGCTCTACACTATGTCATCTGGTCAGCCCGAGTGAAAGGCAAACACCTGTGCTGCCCTGTGTGCCAAGAGCATTTCAGAGCTGGTCAGCCGTGGCCGCCTGAAGCCATAGCCATAGCCAGTTGTTAGGAGAGTTATCAGCCAAATGATTTATATTTTGAAACTTGCCTTAAAATCTCTCCAAAATAAGTATTTTTTAAAGCACCAATCCTTTTAGATTTGTTTATAAATAATGGAATTACAGGTGATTAGAAATAGATACCAAGCAATCATTTACTTTCATTAAATACTGTGTCATTAATTAGAACTACTCAATGACAGGAAATTAACATTTTCTTTATAGGGATGATCACCGATCTTTTTATAGATAAGTTCAAGTTCAAAGGCACCAATGTAAAAACCAAAGTACCTCTTTTACTGGAGATTCTGGACAGTTATGACCAAAACACACTGATTGCTTTCTTTGATGCTGCATGAAAGTAAGGTAAAGTTCTGGAGAAGTTGTCTCTTTAAATGAAAATGTTAAAACAAAATTACAAGTTAACTGTGCATACTTTATTTCAAACTACAGGCCGGTGCACAAAATTTGTGCATAGGTGGGGACCCTGGGGGTGGCCTGCGGAGACTGGGTCCTAGCTTGCAGCCCCAGCCTCGCAGCCCCGCAGCCCTATCTGACACCCCGCCTTGGCCTGGCGCCACCTGCTCGCCGGCTCCACCATCCCGCGACAGTCCGGCTGTCATCAGGGCCGTCTGGGCGGCAGCGCCTCCACTGCCACCCACTGCCAGCACCGTGTCACCAACGGCCGCCATGTACCGCGCCGCTCCCTGGTGGTCAGTGTACGTCATAACGAGCAGTTGCACTTCTGATCAATGACTGCCGGAGAGACAATAAGCATATTAGGTTTTTATTATATAGGATACTTTTAAATATTATCTAAAAGTATTTGAGATACAGGAATTTTTTTAGTAATGCTTCATTTCTTTTGATGAATGCAACCTTTTAAAAATAAATAGCGTTTTTATTCTTTTTTTTTTAAATATATTTTATTGATTTTTTACAGAGAGGAAGGGAGAGGAATAGAGAGTTAGAAACATTGATGAGAGAGAAGCATTGATCAGCTGCCTCCTGCACACCCCCTAGTGGGGATGTGCCCGCAACCCAGGTACATGCCCTTGACCAGAATCGAACCCGGGACCCTTCAGTCTGCAGGCTGACGCTCTTTCCACTGAGCCAAACCGGTCAGGGCCCATTTTTATTCTTAAAATACAAGTAGATTGATTATAAGGGATTTTTTTTAAATATATATTTTATTGATTTTCCACAGAGAGGAAGGGAGAGAGATAGAGAGTTAGAAACATCGATGAGAGAGAAACATCGATCAGCTGCCTCCTGCACATCCCTTACTGGGGACGTGCCCGCAACCCAGGCACATGCCCTTGACTGGAATCGAACCCGGGACCTTTCAGTCCACAGGCCGACGCTCTATCCACTGAGCCAAACCGGTTTCGGCGATTATAAGGGATTTTAATGAATTCTTTTGCAAATGGTGTTTTAAATTTTATACTGAAAAATAATATTTGAAAAATAAAAATATATAGTGTGTGGACTAAAGTAGGTTTACAGTTTGCATGGAAAATTGTAATAATAAATAATAACACAAGACCCCTGCCACTGTGGCTCAGTGGTTGAGTGTCAACCTATGAACCAGGAAGTCATGGTTTAATTCTGGCTCAGGGCACATGCCCAGCTTTCAGGCTCAATCCCCAGTAGGGGGCGTGCAGGAGGCAGCTAATCAATTCTCTCGATATTTCTCTCTCTCCTCCCTTCATCTCTGAAATCAATAAAAATATATTAAAAATGTAACACAAGAATAAACTTGCATACTCACAACTGTAAGCCTACTTTTGCCCCACTCTGTATTTAAATATTTAAGCTCCTCTCAGTGTATGTATAAACTGCTTTACATTTTTCAGGATGTATTTATATTCGTTAACTCATTTGACTTTCACAACATGTTATTTTCTCAAGTCATATAAGAAAGCTCCTTTGCACTGAGGTTAAGTGATAAAGAGGGCTTGCTGTTATTTTGTAAATCGGGGACTAGAGCCCGCATTTTGGTGCCTGGTTTGTGTCCTAGTTAATTACGTATGTCGCCAGCCAGTGGATATAACCTACCAATTATTTTTTCTGGGAGTTGAGATTGATTTGCACCTGATTTCTCTCTTGCTTGACAATGAGCATCGTGACCAGGTTCAGTGTGGGATACAGTGTGGACAGAGATGAGCAGCGTGCACAGACGGAGGGCGGGGTGGTCTAAGTGACGCTCTGTAACCAGTGGTTACCGAGTACCCGAGTGGCTAGTCAGGACAGGGATGGCTTCCTCGCGTTTCTGCACGAGCATCACCCATTTCCTTCATATCATGTGAAGGGGAATAAGACTTAAAGGCTGTGGGGATTTTGTTTATTAAACCTAATTCAGATTCATATTCAAGGGGAATGTTGTATTTAAAGGTTGCTTTAAGATGGCATAAAGATTATAATGCAAAATAAGCTATTTATGTTTTTAAGAAGGGCACACCCATGAATTTGTCAGAGAACAATCATGCTTCTTAATTATATGCCATTATATCTGTTATGTGTGAGCCTTATTGTATATTAAATGTGGAAATTCGTTAAAGGCACCTATCGCTAAGAGTTTTATTTTAATAAGGTCATACATTTTACTATATCCAACCTTCATTTCTGAATGGAACACACCTCTATGTGGGTCACTGGGTGCTGTGTACTGGCGGTCGGAGCTGCGGGGGAAATGGGAGTGAATGGCCGTCTAGTGGAATTTCGTGCAGAACATTCCTGTCTGTTACACAGATCGACAGTAGTTCAAGGTGGCACCTCCTAGTAATTGCCTCTTCACTAGGAAATGAAAAGCTGAGGCTGAAGAAACACCTAAACGGTAGATGACAGTCTGCCACCGCAGCGGGAGCGTGTAAACATCCTTTAACCCTGACAAGTGCATGACATGCAGATACTAACAAGGAACAGGCCAGGGAAACTGGGACTGACGTGACCGAGACCAGCGGCCAGTGAGGGCCCGGCCAGTCAGAGCTGGGGAAGCACGTCCTGGCCGCCGCTCATCGCTGGCGTCTAACTGGCCCGCAGCGCGGAGCCGGCCCGGCGGGCTCTGTTAAA